TTGGGCAATCCTACTTCCGTAGTGATACTGCCTCGGAAACCCAAGGAGGGGTCACTATGAGTCAGGTTTGACTCGACGGCACATAACAACAACAATATGCATGTATCTCCCACATGCTTAAAATTTTTAATTAATTAATTAAGTATAAGCAGCAACAACACTGTGCCCTCAAAAGAAAGCAGAGGTATATACCCATATAAGTACTCTCACACTCAAGATATAGAAAACTTCCATCACCCCCCAAAATCTCTCATTCCTGTTTGCAATAAATCCCCCTTCACCCTTACCCTGGGGAACTAATGCTGTGTACTAACAATCCCTATAAATGAACTTATGTGGCATGTAGTCTTTTGTGTCTGGCTTCATTCACTTAGCATAATGCTTTTGAAATTCTTCATACCAAAAAAAAACCAAACTCACTGCCATCGAATCGGATCCGACTCATAGTGACCCCTCCTTGGGTTTCCGAGGCAATAGCACTATGGAAGTAGAATGCCCCATCTTCCTTCTGAGGAGTGGCTGGTGGGTTTGAACCACCAGTCTTCTGGTTAGCAGTTAAATGCCTTAGGCACTACACCACCAGAACCCCCCATTCATTTTCTCTGAGCAATATTTTGTGGTTTCTGGTGTACAAGGCTCACATATACTTTGTTAAATCCATCTCTACATATTTCATCATTTCAGTGCTATTGTAAGTGACATTTGTTTGGCATTTTATTTTTTTCAGGCTGCTAGTCTATAGAAACACAACTGATTTGAGACACGTATCTGGTATCTTCCATCATGTTTTCTGTGAATAAAGACAATGTTGCTTAGAAAAAAAACACTGTTCCCTACCTAGAACATGATGAAAGTAATTAATGTCATTGAGTTGTATATGTAAAAAAATGTCAAAATGGCAAGTTTCTTGCTATTTTGTGTGTGTATATATATATGTGTATGTATGTTGTTGTTGTTGTTGTTATGTGCCTTCGAGTCAGCCCCGACTCATAGCGACCCCTCCTTGGGTTTCCGAGGCAGTATCACTACGGAAGTAGG